GAGTGAGACTCCAACTCAAAAAAAAAAAAAATTAGCCAAGGGTGGTAGCGCGCGCCTGTAGTTCCGGCTACTTGGAAGGCTGAGGCGGAAGGAGCACCTGAATCCAGCAGGTCAAGCTGCAGTGGCCGTGAGCATGCCACTGCACTCCAACCTGGGCGACGGAGTGAGATTCCAACTAAAAAAAAAGAAAAGAAAAGAAAATGGAGCCGGGCACCGTGGCTCATGCCTGTAATCCCAGCACTTTGGGAGGCCAAAGCGAGGGAATTGCCTGAGCCCCGGGGTTCCAGACCAGCCTAGGCAACTTGGCAAGACCTTGTCTGTACAATAGATCAAAAAATTAGCTGGGCACGGTGGTGCGTGCCTGTAGTTCCAGCTACTTGGAATGCTGAAGCAGAAGAATTGCCTGAATTCAGCAGGGCAAGGCTGCGGTGACTGTGAGCATGCCACTGTACTCCAGCATGGGCAACAGAGTGAGACACCAACTCAAAAAAAAAAAAAAAAAAAAAAAGAAAAGAAAATGGGGTTGGGCTGAGTGACTCAGCCTGTAATCCCAGCACTTTGGGAAGCCGAGGCGAGCAGATTGCCTGAGCCCGCGGGCTCAAGACCCACCTGGGCAACTTGGCGAGACCTCATCTCTCCAATCAATCAAAAATTAGTTGGGGGTGGTAGCGCACGCCTGTAGTTCCGGCTACTTAGAAGGCTGAGGCGAAAGGATCGCCGGAGCCCAGCAGGTTGAGGCTGCGGCGCCCAGGGCTGTGCCACTGCACTCCAGTCTGGGTGACAGCGAGACTCCAACTCAAAAAAAAAGAAAAGAAAATGGGAGGCCCAGAGAGAACAAGTCACTGACCTGAAGGCTCACAGCTGAGGAGAGGCAGAGCAGGGCCTGGAACCCAGGACTCTCGCATTGCCCAGTCTGTGATGGCTCCTGGGCACTTGCCATTTGCTCCTCGTCATTCAGTGACCGCCGACTATGTGGCAGGCTGGGAGGATGACACAGTGAGCAAATTCGGACCTGTGGAAGGCAGACATTCGTGAGTCCAGACGTAAGTCAGTGATCACACACACCTTGTGATTCAGCAACTCCACTCCTAGGCACGTACCTGAAAGAACTGAAAATCCATGTCTAAACATTACGTACATGAATGTGACAGCAGCATGATTCAGTGACCAAAAAGCAGAAACAATCCACGTGTCCATCAGCTGGTGAGTGGATTAACAGTGTGATCTGTCCATGCAGTGGAATATTATTCAGCAGGCAAAAAGAATGTGGCACTAGCCGGGCTCGGTGGCTCAGCCTGTAATCCTGCGCCTTTGGGAGGTTGAGGTGAGTGGATTGCCTGAGCCCGCAGGTTCGAGACCCACCTGGGCAGCGAGACCTCATCTCTACAATAAATCAAAAAATCAGCTGGGTGTGGTAGCTCATGCCTGTAATTCCGGCTACTTGGAAGGCTGAGGCGGAAGGATCGC